TAAAAACAGTGCCTAAGATGGCGGCTGTCTTAAAGGGACAGCTTCCATTAAAAAATTAAAAAAATTTTTTTTGCCTCCACAATTCTGTTCTGCACGTCTTTTAAAATTTATTTATTTATTTATTTTTTGCTTAACAACTTTGGTCTCCCCCCCTTTTTTTTCCTTGATAGAATTTTTTCCCAGTGGTTTTTTTTTGGGGGGGGGGGAAGGAGGACAGCGAGGGGGGGTGTTTGGTATTTTTTGTTAAACCATCTGGCAACCCTAGTTGTTAAGGTGAAACTAAAAACACTCAAATATTTAAAGGAATACACACCATATAAATGTCAGAAATCATGCATCTGTTTCCCAAATACCAACAGATTGTGCCTCAGAATAATGGTCATTTTAACTGGTAGCTCACTTTCCAGATCTAAACAATTTCCCAGTTGATTATATTGCTATCACTTTAGGTAAACAGTTCATTCACTTCTATTTTTAAATGACTCAACTTTGAGGTACTTAACATGCAATTTCAGAGCATCCATACTTATTTGCTGTATATATTGCATATAGCTGCGCCTTTTGGTGATAGGAAAGAAAAGATGCATTTTTCCTGTTTGTATTTTGTTGCTTAATAAACTGATGGATAGGCAGGTAAAAAAAAAAAAGATTGATTAGAGAAAACTTCAGGATTATAATGACTAATAGAGAAAGGCTAAAAGACCATTTGGTTTTGAGAGAGGAAAAGAGTATGAGGCCAGCAGTATTTTTTATAAAACAGCATCAGAACAAAATATTTGGAAACATCTGATAGTAGATATTAATTGAATGCCACGTACCCTTGAAAGTATGAAACATACTGCACTTGGGAATTAATGAGTGAGGGATAATAAATTGGCATTTGACTTCCTTCATCTGTATTTCTTCCAAAAATAACCTCTGTTTATAACATCCTGAGGTCTAAGAGGATAAGCATGGGCTGGTGAAACTACTCAACAGAAAAAACACAATTTCAGCCAGTCATGCTACAGAGGAACAGTTAAAACATCAGGCAGAAAGCAGAGTGATGCAGTGGAGAGAACAAAGTGGCTGGGGCCGCCTTGCTTCACTTCCCCTGCCACTGAGGGTGTGGGTGGGATGGGGCAGGGCAGTAGACTCTGGTGCCACTTCTGGCCCTGCTAGTCCTCTGGCCTGCTTCGGTTGGGGGAAGAGGCAGGGCATGGGCAGAGCAAGGTTGAGGAGGGGGCAGAGCAGGGGTGGGGCCTACAGTAAAGAGGGGTTGTTCTGGCCCTTCCCCGGATGGGGGGAGGTGGTGTCGGTGTCACTTGGTTGGTGGCCCCCCAGATCCTCCCTGACCTCTGCTCTACCTTCTTCCCACCCATGCTTGATAGCCCTGCTTAGGCAAAAGTTGTTAAACTGGTCTATCCTAAATGTATTCATCTGCAATTTATAAATGTTTATAAATGAATAGTAAACAGAACAGCAGGGGTAGGAATGGCAGGAAACAGAACATTTTGGATTTCAGAATATGTTTGTGGGGAAGAAAGAGCATGGAACCTCCTTCATTGCCAGACTCCATATTGCCATCCTTACTGCTTGAATAAACTATATTTTGAAGGATAACTCCTAAGAAAATTCCACTTGAGTGGACTATAGAAAGGGACAAAGAACCCCAAGTTAACTTTTACCCGAGAAGACAAAGACACCAGTACCTTTCGGCTTCTGGAGTTATGTCTAGACTAAGGAGTTTTTCTGGAATACCAGAGGTATTCTGGAAAAGCTTTGCCATGTCCAAGGAAAGTGTCTGCTCTTCTGCAAAAAATAGCTTTTTTTTTTTTTTGGCTCAACAACTTTGGTCTTCCCTCCTTTTTTCCCCTTCAACAGAATTTTTTCCTGTTTTTTTTTTTTTGAGGGTGAGGGAGTTCAGTATTTTTGTTTCAACCATCTGGCAACCCTACTCACAGGACTTGGGCTATATCTGTTAATAGGGATTCTATATCCTAGTAAAGAGGAGAGGATTGAAGATGCTAAAATACAGGTAGGATGAGAAACGGGCAAAAGAGTTGCTGTGGGTATTGGACCTAGCCTTTCCTTAGGT